CCTGAAGGTCATTCGCTGTATCTGACGGTCGACGGTCAGTTACCCTATTAGTTGAGAATAACGGACTGTTGTTGGTAAAATTGGCCCTAAGATTAGTAAAGCTGTTATGGATGTACAAAATTGGACGCGGTTAGGATGGGCGGCTGAAGTTAGGCGGGACTGTCTGGCATGTACATCGCGCGGCGGCATCATGTAGGAGAGCACTGAGAAGCAAAGTCTGTTGTTGTAGCGGTAGAAGAGAGCTAGATTGCGGACGGCCCACCGGAGCAAAAGGGTCCCGAGACTGTCCGTTAGAGTCATCGACCAGTCGAACAGCCCTCCTCTGAACAGCATCGACCATGTATAATTGAGTCGGGGCGACGGCAACAGCGGTGGCCGCAGTAGTAGGCTCTTCGGTCTCCTGATCAGTCGCCGTGAGCTGTGCGGGTTCGAATCCTGTCCCAGGAGTAATTTTTCTCTTGGCTATGGACGTTGTGATTGTCCATAGGTGGTAGACGGTCACTGACAGACGAACGCGGAGGTACCACCCAACGGATCTCGTAGGCGGAGCCAGAATGTTACATGCACACGTGTTCTCTCGCAAGAGTCCGTGCGGCGTTCCCCGTTTCGATAAACAAATACCTTGAACTTTCAGCTCCAAGGGGCAAATACATGTGTATTGAATACGAGTGATAAAGTTAACGCTTTTTGTAGAAAATTGGAATTGTAGAGCAGAAAGTTAAAGTAAAAAAACCTGGAAATGTTTGCAAATATGGATGAATGTATTAAAACTTACAAGGCTGAAGAGCAACACATGAAAGTTGTATTAATAACCATTGGAAATCATTTAGCGATGCTGAAAAAACTTTAAATAATATTTTCTGGCCGACGACAAATTACTTAATACTCAGTTACGAGTAGGTTAGGAATCCGTTTCAAATTACTAGCGAATGGCTCTGAACTGCCGAAGAAGAAATGTTCATAGACTTGACGGCAAACGCCAAAATAAAAAAAAAAACAGTTTAATTATAAATCCCTCTTTGAATTTTGGGCAGGCGTGAACGATGAGTTTCGGCACTGAAAACCAGAGCGTTTCGTATACTACTACCATTTCCAACATCCTACCTTCGCGTAACAGGATTTTCGGCGGTGGCTGCTTTGACAACCAAATATAGATCCCAGCTAAATATAAAAAAAGAGCTCATAGTGTCTATTTCAAATATTAAACCTTGTTTCGACAAGCTTTGCTGGACAAAGCAAGCTTAAGGGAGTCACTAGTAATTATTATCACTTTTAACAATTAATGTTATTAAACTTATTTTTAATTTAGTATTGATAAATACAGTCCTGTTTTTTAAGTGTACCTACTATATCAGTGTTAATTATGTATTTCATTTTTGATTATGTCAGAATTTTGTTTTTCATTCTTTTTAGTAAATTATGTAATGTTGTGTTTTTTTCTGATATGCTCGCACCACCGCCTTTAATATTGACAGGCGCCATAGCAAATAGCGCTGACATTATACATGCTGTGTCAGCACGCCTCCGAAGCAAATTATCAACCAACATGGAAGAACCTATGGTTTCAAATAAGAGCGTTGTTTTACTGATGTTTAATTTGAGCGTATCGTCATTTAGCTAATTCATATTTTTTTAATATCACTTTCAGTTCTAAAGCAGTGTCTAAAGGCTTATGTTTATACTGTTAAATATAACAAGGCTTAATTTGAAAACTTGATACGAAGGAGGTTTATTTTCATTTACAAGTTAAGAAGCACAAAATTGCATATTTCCAATCGGGAAAAAATATTTTTAAGTGCTTAGTTCTTTTCATCAACGCTTCAAAAAAAAAATTGCTTACAGGTGCGAATATTTATTTGTGGAAAACTGATGCTACTATTTAATTGCATCAGACATGTTACTTAGAAGCTCTGCTGTTTTTTTTTCTTTTGAGCAATGGTTGATGAATCTCTGAAATGTGAAATAGAGTTCGAACGCACTAAGAATATGACCGCTACGTCATCGTGGGCGGGTCCGCTCATCACGAGGTCGTCGACAGAGCGCAGTGGCGTTCTATTTTATTTGAAGTATAGAATAAAGTGAATAGGTTGTGTAGACATTGATCATTAATTGATTTTTGTATTATTATATTCATTTAGTATGCGCATTAAGTTGTTCGGAAGCAAATTTGAATTAGAAGAGGGAGCAAACTAAAGACGGTTATCATTCAAATTATATATCACCATTAAAAATTCTAATCACTATCAGATGATAGTGTGTTTAGCTCCAAATCTTCATCTGAGTCGCTTTCGTCACTATCTTCTGATGATGACCATGTGTTCACAGTGAATTGATACTTATCCATTTGATCGTCGAGAAGATGTTCTTTTTCCATTTGTGCTTGCTCATATTTTTTCACGTGGTTACAAATTTTCTTCCACTCATCTGCTCCAATTTCTTCAAACCTGCTACGGGTCAGATGCTCCACATCAGACAACCTAAATGTCACATTTCGTGGAGCAACCCAGTTTTTTACGAGAGCCCAAATCTTCTCGATTGGGTTTAGCTCCGGATGATATGGAGGCAGTCGTGCTGTTCCATTAAGGCATCTGCTTGTATTTGACTGGAAATCTTCGTTTATTTTCCTGTATTTTTTTATATAGTTCGGCCTTAGTCAATGAGTTTTCACTAGGAATTTGATGTTTTTCTAGCCAGCCAATCATCTCTGATTTCAGGCTAGAAGAGGTTACATTTTTTTCTTCCAGGACATTGTGATAAGAAGCGTTGTCAACTACAAGCACAGAATTTTCAGGCAAATTTGGGATCAATTGGCTTTCTACCCATTTCATGAAGTTCAAATGATTCATGTCGTTGTGGTAGTCCCCAGATTTTGAGCCTGAAAATAAAATACATACATATATTCCAGTAAATATATATTGGAAATATTTTACATCATTGTAACACAAATAATACCTGATTTAAATATCAACAAGGCGTTAGGAATAAAGCCGAATTCTCCACCAGCATGCACAATAATCATTCGTCCTTTTGATGAAGGCGTTTTTAGTTCCTTGTCATAATTGTCATCTGACCATCCTTTTTTTTGGGGTATGACTAGAATGTATATATGTTTCATCCGTATAAATTATGTTCCTGTTCTCAGCTCTATATTTCATAATTTGCTTCAGATATTCGATACGCCTCAAGCGAATTTCATATTTTTCCATGAGAGCTTCTTAATTATCAGTAGTTCTTTTCCATCTGTAGATATAAATTATATTTATAGCGTTGTAAATCGAAAACCTTATAGTCTGTATGAATACTGACCTAAAGCCCATTTGTTTCAAAAGTTTGTTCAAAGTCGTTATTTTACCCTCAAAATTGAGTTGTTGATCTTGCATTTTTTGGTAAATACCTAAAAAATCTTAAAATGAAATATGACTAGATGCTACGGTTACAATTTAAAAACTTACATTTCAGCGAAGGTCTTCTTTTCTTCAAAATATAAAAATCGTATATGATTGCTTTCATTTCGTCAATTTGGTCTGCAGCCACTTTATCCACAACAGGTGATTTTCGTTGCCGCTTTTTAGACGGGGATGAAAATGAAAAGTTGCTTGAATATATTCCATATCTGCTCTCTTTAGCTATTTTTTGATAAGTACATTTACTTATACCCGTGGCAGCTAACACACGTTTCCTAAATGGGTTAATCAGTTTTATTTGACAATAATTATAAAAATCTTTTACATTCATACATACCGGTATTGTTGAAGTGGAAACTTTAATCCCTCTACACTTTCCTGTACCATGAAGTTATTGACATTGTTGATAATTTAATTTCCTTGACTCACAATCGCCTTTCCTTTCACGCCAATCTCTTTCACAGACATTGTTTAGATCACTGGTTCAAAACTATTAATAATTTAAATTTGAACAATAGTAAAAATTTCCACTATATTGCAATCTATTTGACAATTTTTACACACGGTGCCTTGTTCAAATTAGTTTACAAACTGAACTTATGACTAACGGACAGGTTTATATATCTGTTGCAGGTAAAATAAATGTGATTAATTAACACTCATCGTCTTAACGCTACTTACGAACGAAGGGATTTAGCAACCGGGAATTATTCAGGTAGTTCAATTTTACACTTGTTATTATTAGATTTGTTTCTACTAATTTTGTTTACCTACGTTTGATATTGGTATTAGCCTATTTATCTAAGTACTAATGATGCACTCTAGGAAATCTCATGATTGGTATAGATATAAGCGGATCACAGTCTTAGGATTAATTTAATTACTTTCAGTTGTTTGCCAATTTTGGGGTTTTACCCTTCAATATTGTGTCTATTATATGTAGGTACCTGCTCACTATTTTATATTTTGATTTATGGATTTCCATCAAATATCCACAAACCCCATAAGATTAATAATTTTCAACACAATCAAATATAAAATATGATATGGTTAATAAATAAAAAAATAAATAAGTCGAACAAACGTCTCATCAGATCGCAATTGTGTCAACAATCTCAACTGACTGAAACTTACATACTAAAAAACGTTCCGCCTATGGCTTACTGAGAGTGGGATGTCCCTTAACAGCGTCAACAGCAACATCATTTCTGGACATTGAAGACCACATACATTTTTAAGCTTTCTACGATATAAATATTCGCCACGATTAGAACTGGACCACATTAAGAGGGCGGTAACAGATGTCCATAAATCTTACCAGAGACTGTCACAACAATTTCCTATATTCTTATAGGGTACAATCGACGCAAGGGAGAGGGTATAAAATGATGACGTAGCGGGCATAACCTTAGGCTGTTTGAACTCTACTACAAGCAACGGCGCCCAACGCAATTTTATAAAGTATGTTGCGGTTTGAAGGGGAAAATGCGGAGTTGTTAGCTCTGAACTTTTTAGGCGAGATTTTAGAACGGCGTGGTGGCGCAGTATCAGCTTTGCACGGAATGAAGGTATGTTTAAGATATTTTTCAAATCCAGCTCTTCAAAGCGGAACAGGGAATGAGCTGGACATTGAGCAGCCCACTGTTTCTCGCACTCTGAAACTGGTCTTAAAAGTGGTAAAAAGATTATTCTATACGCTAATCGTTGGATCCAGTTTTCTGAAAGATGTCATGCTATAATGCAAGCTAAGAACTGTGGGCAAGCAAGTTCAAATTTCCGTCTGCTATTAGAGTACCAGACATGTATTGTAAACGAGAATCTTACGAGTTATTACAGGGGTTGATGATAGTAAGTCGTCTTGCAGGAATATTTTTGTAAACACTAATTTCATGACATTAGCTTGTTTCTACATATACGAATTACAAGTATATGTCAAACTGACCAAATCCCAGCTTCGCGTCTTAAATACCACAATATTTTCAATACCAGGAACTCGAACTTGCTTCAAGTACCAGCAGAGAGGAGTCTGCTTCCTCAATATTTTAAACTCCTTAGCATAATGGAGTCCAAAAATAGTTAAAAGATTCCTGCTAAACAAAGCATACTACGGTGTTAATGACAACGCAGTTATTTAGGTATATAGATGTCTTATGCTAATTGAGGAAGTTAATGTAAGTGTACCTAATCTTATTTGTTTGGTTGCAATTTTTGTTTTTGATGTAATTTCGTCTTTACACTTTTATCTGTTGAGCTTATTGTGAATATAATTATATGTTGTATTATTCACACAGTAATTAATTTACTGTTCCATCTTTTGATGATCCTGGAATAAATAAATGTGAATTTTGAATTTGAAACTAGAGAAATCTAAATTATAAGGGAACGAATGCGTAAACCGCAAAGGATGTATGGAAAGTACATTATTGGGTATGAGCCTGCCGGCTTCGGTAGATGAAGCATCACAACGTGCGTTTTAGACATGAGCTTTTACTCTTTTATATGATGCATTTACTTGCAAGTAAAAGGTGATCATGATTCATATTGAATGTGGCAATTGCTTTTGCTTCTACGTTTTTCTTTGAGCATTAGCTTTTCCTTCTATCTTATGCTTATAAGCATTTACTTGATTTTTATTCATAGGGCTCAAGACCATGCTCTTTGTAAGTCCGACAATTATTTAAAAGTCCGAGTTATTGCTTTGCGATGGCATATTCCTTCTACGAACGCTTACGCTCACCAAACTCAAGAACACTGACGCGGCTTTGAGTCGCTCCTGTAGTTAATAAATTATAATACAAGCTCACACCAAAACTACTACTTTCTAGTTGTTTTACTCCAAATGGACATATAAGTGTCGGCTATAATACTAAGGAAAAAAATTGATCATTCTCTGATGGGTAAAAAATTATATTCTCAAATTTATTATAGTTATGGGCTACAGAATTTTGCACGCCTAGAAGAATGAGTGAGATACTGGTAATTATGACGTGCCTTAAAACGAAAAGGCTAACAAGTAAGGACTATTCTTAAAAGATCTTCGATTTATATCAACAACACAACAATAAGTTCCAATAAAAGAATAGCTTCTTTAACAGAAAGATACATGTATCCGTATACCTATTTGTACATCTTCAAAAAATATAAGACAGCTTTTGATTACTTAGTAGACAAAACTACATGTTATAAATGTATTGGTGCCTAAATGTTAAACTTTTCAATATCTTCATTAAATTCTATTTCTTTTGAAAGCTTCCTTTAAAATAATAATATGGATGATTAACCAATCGTTTTGGTTCGCTGTAGAATGGAGATATTTTTTTAAAATCTTTAGCTCAGGAAAATCTCCCTCGCATTGCTATAGAAACGCAAATAATCAAAAAGTATTGTGATATGAATGATATACAGGGCTATGAATACCATTTAATAATAAATTGAATAACTTCTTGGGCGTTCAAGGTAATTAATGTAATACCCCCGATACATCTGACCAATGGCACGCAAACAGCAACCCGAATGGCGGCAGGTCATCTGAAAATTGAAAGGAAAGTAAATTTTATGGTATAAGTAATACGAATGGGTGTGAAAGGTACCTACACGTGCAAGTTCTGTAACTCGCAGACATTTTTATTACTTATAGCATAAGATCTATTTCCCTTTGAATATTCAGATAACCTACTGCCATTTTGATTGTTGCTTTGCTGCCACTGGTCTAGAGCCGTTCTGCTTCAGTCGTATACGGGTGTATTATAATAGTTACTTTGACTAGATTAATCAGTTCTATTGAGCATCCTATTTGTCTGTCTATCGTTTTCAACGGAACTGTAATATGGAGACACATCTGTACATCTGTAATTGAATGGAATAATCAACTGCAATAGAGGTTCAAAACATCAAGTAAATCACAGCCGAAAGACGTTTCTTTGGTAGAGTATTCCTCGGACATCAGCTTTCTTTCACTTTGATGTTAACGACTGCCCAACTCGCCTGTCGAATTGGTAGATGTTTGATAGAAGAGCTCATCATATAATATGGAGAAAATCATTTGTTGATCTGTTTGCACATATCCTAAAGTGTCCCTTTTAAATGCGACACCATTGAACGAACGAAAAATTAGTGACGCGTACTCGCAGCCAAATCTATTCTAGATGATAATACGGGATTTCAGGAAATAAAAAGTACAATTACTAGAAGTATGTGTGTGCATTTATTCCAGAGTGCGTACTAAAATTTCTTGTACAGGAAAGACATAAGGAAATCAACCTCTTCCGAAGTAGGTACCTAGTAAGCTGTGTGCCGAATAACGCTTCGAAATTCGAGGGCGACAGGTAAGTCATTTTGACGTCAATTGTTCTGAATTTGCCTTGCAATGTTTATTTTTTTCATATTGTCGGAAATACTATTTATATTAAATTGCAAATGATTGACAATGTTGTTGAAATTTTCTAATCCCTAACACAGGAAACTACGACATACTGGCGACATCTCAAGGGAACCATTTTAAATATATTGTAGTTGATTATTCAATCACATATGACTATACGTGTGAAATGTCAGTGTTGGTTTTTATAGTTCGGGCGTCGAAGCTGTCGCATAAGCAGAAGCCTAAATACTGGGGCTGCTATGAGGACCTTAGGGCCGGTTTCATAATCAAAATTAATTCTCCAGTTAAATTTAATCGAGATTTTAACGATTGAATGGATTTCATAATCTCTAATCAGCCAGTTAAAATTTTCTAATTGGCCGTTGAGTTAACTGCTCGATTTCGGCCTGTTAAGCGGTTAATTGGGGAATTAAATGTTTAACATAACCTTTCTTTCTTTGTTGTGTCATTTGGACGTTTGGGCGCTATTTGTTGAACTGCAGATTGAAGCGATATTTTTATACAAACCGACATTCCTTTGAACAATACGGTAAGTATTTACAGTACAAAAAAGTCCTTGGAAATATTTATTTTCATGTACCTACGTGTTTATATCCTAGATGAATCTATGGCAAAGTAGCAGCAGCAGCTCTTCATCTGATGAGGACATACCTACTATTCGTAAAACGAAAGTGTATAGGAAAAGAGATTATTTCAACAGGTTTGATCATTTACGTCCATATCTGATGACAAAACTTCAAGATATTAATGTGGAGGCAGAAAATTTATATAATAAATCAATAATTAGGACACGGAATGTGGTAGAGAGGCAATATGGTGTTTGGAAAAGACGATTTCCTATCTTAAAATTAGGTATGAGACTTGATGTACATACAGTCATGGCAATAATTGTCGCCACAGCGGTCCTACATAATATTGCTATAGAAGAGAATGAAGCAATATCTGAAGAGTGGATCGATCATTTTGAAGATGAGGAAATAAATGAACAGGGTGATGTTAGATATGACAATCGCTCAGGCCAGGTTGATAAACAGATGTTAATAAATGAATACTTCGCCAATTTATAATAAATCTATATTCAATACAACTAATTGTTAAGCATTCTTTGTTTTATTTCTATTTCTAAAAGTTCAAGTTTTTTTCTATGTAGTTCCCCTTCCCACTCGTGTTTCTCTGCATCCCTCTTTCTCTTGATCAGAATGTCTTCTTGTTCTAGTCTGCTTCTTTCAATTTCTTCTTCTGCGAACATAATTTTTTTTTCATAAAATAAATTTTTGCTAGTAGAATTCGTCTGTCTAAGTCTTTTTGACATGGGCGTTTTTAACTTCTTCGATGTGTAATTTCCCCAGCTCTAAAAAAGTATGAAATAAGACTATGTAAAAAGCAGGACTTGATCATAAGCAAAATATACTATAATATACAAGTGGTCAGTGTTATTCTAAGATTTAATTTAATCCTAGTCTTACAATGCATGAAATAATTTGAAAAACTGAAAACTCTCACAAGTGATATTTACTTACAATACAGACACTACGCACGAGTAGCAGTTCCTCCTCCTTGGTGAAATTGCTTCCGCGTGCTCGTTTGCCTTTGTTTAAAGCCATGTTGGTAGATATATTCGTAAAACACAATAGATAACGCTAGTAAACCGCAAATACACAATCGGTGAAAATATCTGACCATATTGCAGGTTAGGTTAGGTGGCAGCACCCTGAGGTCAGGCATAAAGCGAAAAGTTTTTCTCTGTTTCATGAGTGACAAGCTCGATTTGTTCAGGTAAAATTTATTTCAGGGGTACCAACCACAGTTAATCCTTTGTTACTAAATTGACGTTTTTTAAGACATTATGAAATGCCCCGGAATTAAAGAGGCGTCAATTGGAGAATTAACTTAACAGCCCAATTATCTAACAGGCCATTTAGTGAGCGATTATGAAACCGGCCCTTAAAGAAACTCTATTAATCCGATCTTTAAACTACCTCAGCTTAGTAGAATTGGGACAAGCCCCCTCAGGTAGATTGTTCCACAATCTCAATACCCTAGGGACTCAGGGGCGGTCGTATCGGTCAGGTCTGGATGTAACGAAGTTCGACATGGTTAGGATGGTAAGCCGAAGTCAGGCGGGTCTGTCTAACAGGGAAATCGCGCAGCGGCATCATGCTTGAGGTCTCTGAGTAGCAAAGCCCATTGACATAACGGCTGATCGTCGATGTCCTGTCGGTGCGAAAGAATCGCGAGCCTTGCCGTTAGAAAAGAATCATTGATCAGTCGGACAGCCCTCCTCTGAACAGCATCGAGCAAGGAGAATGTAGTCAAGGCAGCTGCACTCCAAACGTGTGAGCAGTACTTGCGGCTTTATCTTATCTGGAGGTTAAATGGAGAAAAGTACTGCAGAGCCCTAAACAAATAGCCTAGCTTTTTCCCAGAACCTATCGCTATTGACGAGATGCGTTCGTGCCAGATCAAGTCGTGGGTGATCTGACTCTGACCAGCCGAAATGAACGGCTCTTCGGAAGAGCGCGTCATTTATCGATACCGAATGAGCGCTAAAGTGCGCTTTCTGTTAGTCGAGGTGCACTATTGTAATATCCAACGTACTATTAGGATTCAGCTAGAAATGTATGACCTTTCTTTAACTGATTCCTGCAAACTTCTCGGTACGTACTTTGACAGTAGACTAAACTTTTGTGAATATATTGATCCAAGGTTTGTTCGTACAGTAGTCGGTAACGTGTCGGTGACTGTCAAAATCAGAATCAGAGAGATGTCACCTGTTCGTACAGTTTCTGACTGTTTGCCGACAGCTATTCCGCTGTTCGTACAGAACCTGACAGATCAGAGGACACCACTCAACCAGTGACAGTGACATATATCAGAGTGTGTCCAAACTATCTTGAGGACTAAAATTGCTTCGCAAGAGGCATTTAATGATCGATTACTCTTCTCTAATGGACGGTCTGGGGACACCCTCGCACCGACGGGCCGTTGGCGATCTAGCTACGCCAACGGGCTTAGCTCCTCAAAGCTCTCTTAGATGGTGTCACCGCGCGATGTGCCTGTCTAACTTCGGCCTCCCATCGTAACCGTGTCGAACTTCGTACATATAGAACTGGTCGATAAGACCGCTCCTTTGTACCGAGGGTATCGAAATCATGTAACAATCTACATGAGGAGCTTTTCCCAGTTCTAATAACTTTAGGCAGTTAAAAAATAGGAATAACATAGTTTCTTTAAGCTCCTCAAAGCAGCCGCGGTGCCCTGGCATGTTGCGTTCACGTGCGCGGCTGCTTCGGTCTAAAAAGAAAATGAGCGACATACCAAGCAGATAAAGACCTTGAAGATCTACTGAGGAGAGAATGAAACCCAAAAACCTGGATTTTGTAGAGAAAACCGTGCCACAATTCAACAGAAACAGGTTTTTGTAACGTTTTCGGGAGAGCAAGTGGCAGAAGAAATTTTAATGAAATTACATTTTAAATATCAGCCAGCGGCAAAGTGCTGTGTGCTCAATATTTAACCCGTTAATGACAAAATGAAGATCAAGAAACATAATTAATACGGCTTTTGTGATCACTAATCTTTTGACCATTTTTGTTACAGTTGCAAAATGCGAAATTACGCGATTTAAGTCTTTTTTCGGTATATTTTCGTAGTCTTAGTTGTTTTTGTCCATGTTGGTAACTCTGTGAAACTTATAGTTGGGTAAGCAGATCTTGATAATTGTCGTTATGTTCAGCTGACTTAGCTTTTTAGTGTATAACACCCTTTATTATTCAGTGACGTTACTAAATCCTTATAGTATTTCCACTTCTTTCTTCTAGTGAGAGTCTGCATATCAGGGTGTTTCTAATTTGGCACTTACCATTGGGATATTGAAAACTGTAAGGGATAAAATGTCGCTTAAATGGGGTAGTTAACAAAATAGCACTTGGAAAGTTTTGAAATTAAGAGTACGTACTTCCGGAGAGTGACGGAATAACTGAATTTTCCCAAAATCGTTATGATTTTTTCCTGACTTTATTTATATTGGGATTTTAAAATTAATTGCACATTAACAGTGCCACGTTTTCTTCTCTACGAGAAGGCATAACCAGAATTTCTATATCACGGTTCGTCTCTTATCCTTTGCTATATTACATTTTTGCACAGATCAATAGAGTTTTTAATTTTGATTAAAAAAATGCATAATATATATACATTGACGTTGCCAAACCTTAGTTACTTAAAAAAAATCTTATGTAGGCCTTGAAATAATCAGATGTTTGTTTCGCTCACCAAATGTATCACAAAATCGCTCTATTTTTTCCTGACTTTATTTCACATGGGATTTCAAAATAAATTGCATATTGTCGTCGTTACTTATTCTCGTCTACAAGATGGCGTAGTGAAATCTTCAATTAGACATTTCTTCTTTCGACTTCCATCATCAATTTGGTTTTTTCATACCGACACTATATTGGAATTTTGTACATTTAAATGGACTTTTCAGCCCTAAATTCAGTGATGTATTTAGTTAGTTGACCATAACCATAAATAAGCAGAAGTCTTCAGTCTTCCAAACTCTATTGCCATGAAAACAAATGAAATCTGATGATTTCAAGGCTTACCTAGGAACTTCTGGAATAACTAAGGTTTTGCAATGTCAATGTATGACATACACATTTTTGAAATCAGAATAAAAATTCTATTCATATGACGTCTATAAGAAAAAATTGAGTCGATGCTAGAGGACAAGAGACGAAACGTCATATTGAAATTCTAATTGTGCCGTGTTATATACATATATACAGGGTGTCCCAGAAGTCGACGTCAAGCCGAAACCGGGTGATAGGCAAAGTCATAACAGCTATCAGAAAAATATTTAAAAAAATTTTATGTACGTGTTTTGAAAATTATAGGTCTTTGAAAAAAATATAGAAATTTCACACCCTACGGCAGTCTGTCAACTCCTGTTACTACAAATATTAACTTTTTTTGGATTTTATTTTTACAATGTAATGATGAATAATGGGTCTTCAAACTGGTGTGTCAACCTTACTGCCAGCTTTTCTCGTTCAGGAAAAATTGCTACTTATTTCCCAACCAAGTATTCGAAAGTAAAACTTTGCTCAACTTTAACTGGCTGTACTGGAACAAAAATGTACTACGAGAGTTTGGCAAGTAACCTTGAAAGTTGGCGCATTGAATAAGGATTCCAAAATGGTATAACACTTAGAAGATTACTCGTTAACTTATGCACAATTTTTATTTGAAGAAAAAGTGATGAAAATTTTTCAAAATTTCCTAATTAAACAGCGATTATGAAAATGCACAAGGACCCTTAAGGATAACTGTTTGCACAACAGTGGGCGTCAAAATGCTGCTGATGATGATTTACCTTTACAGCAAATGCTCAAACTGTTTTCCTTCAGCCGCAATACACGCTCGACATCTTCTTCAAAAAAAATAGGGTTATTAAACGAGCGAATCCACGGTTATTAACAAACTCAGCTGCTTCGAATAGTCTTTGCCGTAGCTCAGCTACATTTTGAATCGGCTTGAAATACACATTTTCTTTTACACTTCTCCAGTAAAAAAAATCTAACGGATTCAAATCTGGTGACCGGGCTGGCCACGGTATTGTACCAGACCGCCCTATCCATCTGCCTGGATAGTTTTGATCGAGATACTCTCTCATTGAGAGTGCATAGTGCGCTGGGCAGCCATCATGCTGAAACCACATGTCCCTGTAAATACTCAGTGGCACGTCCTCCAATAAATTTTCTAAATGATTTTGCAAAAAACCTAAATAAACCTCAGCAGTCAAAGTCTCTGGGAACTCAAACGGACCGATTTATTTTACCATTTAAAATTTCTGTCCAATGGTTTATCTTGAAGCGATATTGAGATTTATCTCCTCTCATCAAATGTGGGTTTGGTACGTGCCACTCGTGTATGTTATGCAGGTTCATGTACCCATCTTTCTTAAATGTGGTCTCATCTGACCATAAAATTTTTTCAAAGAACCGTGGATCTTCCCTGTGTCTTTCTAACATTGTGCGACAAAGAGCAACTCGGGGCTCATAATCCCGGGGCAGAAGAGCTTGAACATGCTGTACGTGGTATGGATGGAGCACGTTTTTTTGCAAGATTCTATGGGCTGTACTTTTGGGCACACCTGTTTTTAGTTATATTGCACGCACTGAAGTACTCGGGTCTTCTTCGACAGCTCCTAGCACCACGTCTTCGTAAGGAAGGAAAGATCTTCCCTCACCGTGTGATTGGTTTGGTAGTTGGCCCTCTGAGAACAGTAAGCGGTGCACATTTGTGAACACTCGATGATCTGGATGACGAGCTGCATTCGGGTACCTCTCACAGTAAAGTCTCGCTGCAGCACTAGCGTTGCATCTGCATTCCCCATAAATGAGGTGCATGTTAGCATATTCTTGTACGGTGTACACGGACATAGCGGCACTGCACAATCACACAATCAAAGATAGTCTAAGGAAAGCAAATGTTGTTTTGAAGAGCAATTAAACAGTCCAAATCCAAATCACAAGCGATCAACAGTCTAGTGCACGAATCCAAAATTAGTAACAGTACGAAATTAACAAGCACGAACATGTCGCACAATGTTAGAAAGACACAGGAAAGATCCACAGTTCTTTGAAAAAATTTTATGGTCGGATGAGACCACATTTAAGAAAGATGAGTACATGAACCTGC